CCCAGCCTCTGGCCCCCGCAAACAGAGGGGTTGAATTTGCATAAACCAAATGTACTTGAGTTCAGAAAGGCCCTCTACTTCAGAGGGTAGAGATACCTTTTGGCCTCTGAGCTCTATCTTGAAGGCTACCTTCTTGTTCTATGCTTGAAACAATCCCATTTGGAACCAGTTGTATACCTTAAATATTGTTTCCATGGGAAAACTTTCATAAATGTCAAGGACCTTAGTTAGACAAATCAAATAGTCACAAGAAATCCATTTCTGGGCACCACTGCCCCATCTGATTATCTGGAAGGCAGGCAGGGTTTCTTTCCCAGCTGGAGCCCTGAACTTTTCAAATTTCTATCTGTTAGTTGCTGCCTGTCTTCTATAAAATGATTCACTCACCTGATTGACTTTTGGTGTTGTACTTGAGTTTTTCTAAAAGCCATTAAACGTAAAATATATTCCATTTCTAATATTGTTGCGCAATCAAATTTAAATTATTTGAAATGGCTGAAGTGAGTGCTTCGTGGATGGGGGTATTTGCGCGTGTAGCGGGAGTGGAGGGTGGGTGGGAGAACGAGATTTTGCAACTTCTAAGCAAAGTGTTAGAGTCTCAGAATGGACTTCAATACCAAACATTCACCCTTTTTCTGTAAATGGACGTGTCTTACTGAGTTCTCACTTTGCAGAGCTGCTCTTTTTAAAGTTCAGCTCACGCTGTTACTGGCATGAGGAAGACCATGCTGATGACTCCATGGAGAGAGGAAGAATGCTCTTCCCTATGTCTGGTGAGTGGAGAACGTAGGACACTCTTCATGAGATACCAGGCAACTCTGTCAACTGGGATAACAATAGCTAATAGGGTCAGGGTGAGGATTAAAGGAGGTGAAAGCCGTGAAAGAGCTTGAAATGCTGCGCGGCACACAGGGAGTCCTCTGTTACTGTTGCTGTTGCTTCTGTTGCTGGTCTCATGACAACAGGTGTCCTGAGAATGAGTTTAGATCTTTTGGGAACCATATAGTGAAGTTTTCATAACTTACTGACCCAAGATATTCCAAAGTTATATAAAAGGCAGGTAGAGTTCACTGTTAATACTAGATATTCACTTAGAAATAAAGATTCAGCTAAGTCTTTCATCTTTTATAGCCTTTGGGGGAAGAGAAATGGGCTTGTGATTTCCCTGTTGGAGAATGAGTAGACGTCTGGAAGAAGATGACTATATAGGTCATTTAGTTCAACCTACTTACTGTAGCGCTGATAAAACTGACAACGAGAGAGGCACCAAGGTAGCAGGTACTTGTTGCTATCAGTAAGTCTACTCTATACAAGTAGGTCTTTTTTCCTCATTTGTCAAATCCCGTGGGGAAAGGATAGCCAAAATCACGTTTAACCATAAGATTGAAATTCAGCCCAATCTTTAAGGAAAGAGAACTTCATATAACTTTTAAAACTAATCCTACTGCAGAGGTTTAACTAACCCCACAAAGTTTTCAGATTCTTGGCCAAAGCTATAGTTATACGTCCCTATGAAGAGTTGAATAGTTGAACAATTAATGCCTTTTCATTATCTATTTAATAAAAGGTCACCTACATAAAAAAAAAAAAACAATCAATAGGAATAGAAATCATCATCAAAATTAGATTTAATGCTAAAATTGTGCCTTAAATGACTCAGTGGTGTATGCTCCCATCATGGGAATACCTGCAACATTCTTGCTTTATTGTGGGCTATCGAAAAGGGAGTGAAGAAGCTAGAAAAATAGGTATATTTCAAAATTAAATTAAATAATTATTATAATATAATATATGTATCTCTGAAACCTGTTAACCCCAAAGCCCAACTTCTGAATCACTAAACGATATTGCTAAAATTTGGTAAATATCAAGGAAAAGGTGTAAAATGTCCAGAACTCCGAAAACATCTTAAAATGGAAATTAAACTGTGCATAGAGAGACCAGATAAATACAGTTGATGATTTTATTAGTACTCTAGGATTTCAGGGAGGTAATGTCCTCAAAAAGTTCTGTATGACACGATATTTGTTATCAATTGCTGCATAGCATATTATGCCACAACTTAGTGGCTTAAAACAACAAATGATTATTGTCTCACACAGTCTGTGTGGTTCAGAAATGTAGAAGCTGCTTAGGTGAAGGGTTCTGGCTCCAGATCTCCCATGAGGTTGCAGTGAAGATGTTGCAGGGGGCTGATGATATATGAAGCTTTAGCTGGTGCTGGAGAATCCCCTTCCAAAATGGCTTACTTAGACATTGGCAAGAGAATTCAGTTCCTTACCGGAAGTTGGTAGGAGGCCTCAGTTTCTGACCGTGTGGGTCTCTCCAAAGGGCTGCTTGAGTATCTTCCGAACATGGCATATGGCTTCCCCAGAGTGAGTGATCCAAGAGAGAAAGAATAAGACGGAAGCCAGAGTGCCTTTTACAACCTAGCTTTGGAAGTCACATACCATCACTTCTGCTTCATTCCAATGATCACAATGTGGGCGGAGACTATACAAGAGTGTGAATACTAGAAGGGAGAGATCAATGGGGGCCATCTTCGAGACTGGCTACCACAGACACCTTCCAAAATTTTCCATCATTGTTAACTTAAGTAAATGGTGAATTTTACTCACAGTTTCTGTTAGGATGCTTCACCTAATCACCATGGCCATTCTAAGGTATTATTCTGTTCATTTTCAGGAAGTGTTCATAAAATACTTGGACTAAAGAATATGGACAAAGGGAATTAATTTGAATTTTCTCTCTGGATAGTATCCTTTAGCAGTCATTATTCAATACCTTTCCATTCTTACCCCATCATACCTTTATTTTTCAAGAAAATTTAGATCCTGGGATCTACCACCACTGAAATCATCTTGGCCGAATCGTGGTGTTGAATGGGGCCATAACAAACATAAGGGCCAACATAAGAATACAACATAAGAAGAATACTCTTATCATGTTTCTCTGGATGATGAACATCTGTTAGGAATCCTGCTGACCTTCTTTTCATCTGTCCTGCCTCTAGCATTCAGCATGGTCTGGCATTAGTGATGCAAATAAGATAGGTATTAGAGCTGCTCTTGGTGACAAGAATTTAGTAGAAGTTCCTATACAGGATGATCTTTGAAAGAGAAAGTTCCAAACTAGCTTCAAAGGAATTCAGAGGAAGACAGGCTACTAGGGAGATAGAACTCTCCATGGAAGCCACATGGTCGCTGAGAGAAACTAGACCTTGTAGCCAGCTTAAGACCTGGAGGGTCCCAGCCTCAAGGGTCGAGCCCACTGTTCCGTCCAGGTTGGTGAGTCTGCCTCAGGAAAAGTGAAACAGACTTGGTTGAAGGAAAGAAAGAAAATCGGTAGGATCTGTGCACCAGGAAAGCTTTGCCAACAACCCGATCTAAGTTAAGCTCTTTGACACTTGTATCTGGTCCCCTCTAAAGCCAGAACAAATCCAGTAGCAATAAGCCATGAGGATAATGTCAGAGTAGAAAGGGTCAGGGTCAGAGAGAGCTGGGAGGGGTTTATATTTGAGGTGTCTGGAGGCAATGTAACCAGAATACACAGTTATTTTTTAAAGGAGTCAAAATTATAATCATGGAAATGGGGTCAAACAACAAATCTAAACCAGACATGAAGAGAGAGATGAGAAAACAGCAAGGCAAACACCCAGGAGGGTGAGAGGCAGGGCAGAAAGAGGAATGGGAGGGGAATACGGTTCTGAAACAGAGACTGGAAAAGATTTACTCCAATCAAGTTTTGCCTCACCACTCCATCAAAACTGCTCTCGTAAGAGTTACCAGTGAGTCCTTGAATTTAACAACACTCTTCACATTGAATAAAAAGTTCTATACTTTTTTTTCAGTAGTATTGGACGCAGTTGACCATTCTTTCTTCTTTGTCATAACTTTCTTTGTCTGGCTTCCAAACACTACATTGCCTGGTGATCCTTCTACCTCATTGATAGCTCTTTCCCCAAGTCTTTGGTGCTTGTTCCTTTTCTCCTTTGTACATGGTCTTCTTTTCTTCTCTATATCTACATATTCACTTTGTGATTTCACCTAGCACAATTCAGTACTTTCAGTACAATTTATGCATCAATGATTTCTACCTCCATCCCAAACTCTCTCGTGAACAGCAGGTTCGTGCCTCTGCTGGGGGGTCTACCAGACATCTCAAACTTCATATGTCCACAGTTGAATTTGTTATCTTATCCCCAAATCTGTTTCACTTGCAGCCTTTCCCATTTCAGCTGATGGAAACTCCATCCTCCCAGATGCTCAGGCCAAAATCTTTGGTGTCTTCTTTGAATCCTCTCATTCTCTCACCTCACCGCTGATCCATCAGCAAATCCTGTCAGCTCTGCACTCAAAATATATCCAGAACTCCATCTCTTCTCACCAACCTCCACTCATTGCTCTGCTCTCAGCCTCTATCTTCTTTCTCTGGTATTACTGCAGCCGTTTCCCAAACATTTGTCTTGTTTCAACATCTTCCCCCACAGCCTATCACCACAACACAGCAGCCAGATTGGGTCTTTTTGAAGTAAAAGTCAGAGGGAATCATTCCTCTGCTCAAAACCCATTTCCCAGAGAGAAAAGCCAGATTCCTTTATACTACCCAACAGAGTCTTCCTGAGGTGACCTCGCGTGACTTCTCTGACTTGTCCTTACTTCTCTCTCCCTTACTCTCTGCTCCAGTCATAATGGCCTCTTTGCTGTTTTTGAAAACACAAGGTACTCTTGCACTTTTGCTGTTCACATTGGCTGTTCCTTCTGCCTGTAACACTCTTCCTCAACTGTTCACATGGCTAACTCCCTCCCCTTCTTTAAGTTTTTGCTCAAATGTCAATTTCTCAATGAGGTATCCCCCGGCCAATCTATTTAAAATGTCAACCTACTCCCAACTCCACTCCTCCTGATGTCCTTTCATTGCTCAAATTTTTAAATAGAATTTACTGCTTGCCAATATATGATAAAATTTACTTATGTATACTTATCTGTTATGTTTTTCAGTGTGTGACTGTCTCCACTGCTAGAAATAAGTGCCACAAAGGCAGGAGTTTGTTTACTCACATGTTCTGACGGCCTGACATGAAGCAGGTGCTCTGTAATATGTGTTAAAGAAATAAATGAATTACATGTTGAAGAAATGGGTCTTGACGCTCTGTGGAGAGAAGACTTCTATAGAAGGGAGAGGGGAAGCAGGAAGACCAGTTAGGAGCCTGGCCTTGCATTGAGGTGAGAGCTTACGGGGTTTACACCAGGTGGTAGCAGCTGAGTAATCCTGGTTCTGGCCGAGTCACCTCATCTGAACAGAGCTGGCCTCCCTGTTAGTGAGTATGGCTCACTATGTCCCCATTTAGTCCCGGCCTTACTCCTAAATCTTGTTGGATAGCATCTCTTGAAAGCCCAGCTTAAATGTTAATATCCACATGAAGCCCTACAAACCCCTGCCCCACCCCAGGCCGAATTCGTTGCTCCTTCTTCTTGTTTCCACAACAACTTGCCCATACCTTTTATATAATACTCGTCACACTGTATGAAAATTAGAATACGTGTCTTCACATAGTTGTGAATTTGTACTTCCACTGCTAGATTGTGAGCCCCCTGAGAACAATGACTATATTTTATTGGTTTTTATCTTTGTAACTAAACCAAGATTAATGCCTGCCCATGGTAAATGCTCAGCAAATAAATAAGTAACGATTATTTTAGATCCAGCTCAATTAATTTCAGTTTAAAGAGAAATATCTTTTTGTCTTAAACAGTTATCATTTAATCATATAATAACAATAGATGCAAAATGATTCTTTCTTAAAGAAGTCATGCATCCTTATGATTTTTAATTTTTTTTAAGTAAAGGAGAGGGCCCACCATTTCTGCTATTTAAAAATTTTTAAATGCAAATAGTTCAAGCATAACAGCTTAGTTTTTTTGGTTTTGCTTTTGTTTTTTACCAGGAAAAAATCGGAATTTCAGGTGATCACTTGTTAGTTCCCAAGTTTCTGGCCTTAAGAGTTAAGCACGTCTTCAGCCCTAAAGAAGCAGTTTCAAGCAGTTGTGCTGTCAGCTTGAAGCGTTTGGAAACTGGCCAGAACTGCTTAAGAATCGTTTTCCTTCTTGTTCTCTTCCTTGCTGCCAGGCTCGCTCAGAGAGTCCATTTGCAGAATCAAACGAAAATCTAGCTCTTTCATGCAAACCTTCCTGAAGCAGCAAGGCTGTGTTTGGACATGAGAGCGAAGGCTCCTGTAATGGAAGCCCTGAGGGTGATTTCTCTCTACCCCGAGCTTGGCAAGGTCCTCTCCACCACGGAGCGATGACATGGAGGATCAAACAGCTCTCTCCAAGCCAGGCCCCATCAGACTTGCCTTTTCTAAATATAGTGCACTTCAGTAAACACCGTGTGAATCTGCACTTCGCCTGCTGGGAAATGCATTGTCACCTCCATCACAATTTTGTGCACGTGTGTAAGTATGTATATCTTATTAGACCCTCTTTTATCAACTGAAATGACTGAGCCAATTCCCTTTTTATTTTAAAATTTGACGTTCAATCAGTTTCTGCTCAGTGCTTTAGATAACTTAACTTGAGGAAAAGTGTTCTGCATGAGGGAGGGTTGAATGAATTGAAGTTCAACAATAGACAAGGTTGAGGGCTCGGAAATTCTTGAAAATACCACCTTAGGCCCTGCTGCTGAGGTACACTGCCCTGTGTCCGTGATGCGACACTTCCACCAGGCAAATAAGGACGGGTGGATCAAATTAAGACAATTCACGGCTTTAGACAAATCCTCCTGAGCACTGTCTGCTGATAAGACTACAAGAGCATGTTCTGTTTCATTGTCTGAAAGCCCCTGATGCTGACGCTGCCGTCCCTAGTTTTGGTTAATGTGCACCTTTGATCCTGATGGACGCTACACATCTCTGTTCTGTAGCCAGCACCTGATCCTCTGGCTGCTGTTCACCCTCACCTAAAAAAAGAACAGGAGAGAAAGCACACCAAGTGTGCAAAGTTCAACAATAGTTTAGGACAGGAGCCAAGAACATAATCTCCAGTAGGAGCCAGGGGCCCGCCAGGGCAGCATGTGGAGATCTGAGCTGACGTGGGCCCACCAGGCTCCTGTGCGGGTGGGAAAGACAGAGATCTGAATAACCGCACAGGGGCAGAGCTCACTCTCTGTGGAACATCTGAAGGGGGACTCTTTCTGAGACCAGCTTCCTTCACCACTGGGCCCAACTACTTCAGTCGTGACCTAGGAGAACGCTCGGAGCCCCGTGACTCAGGACTCGCTCCATCTATGGCTGTCAATACCTGCGATCTTGGAGGGAGGGTTTCATTCCTTTACAGATCAATTTCTACTTCATTAGTTTATCAAGTCAACCCCACAAATTAGGATCCCACTTTTGGAAAACAAATCTTTCAGTCTTGAGTCAGACGAAAAGAAAGAAATAAAACATTATATAATGCTAGCGAAATATGAGAGAAATAGATTCTAATAGGACAAAAGAGGGGAAGGTAAAGATGCTTTTTCTTTTTTTGAATTCTGCTTTCCTTCTTTTTCTCTTTTTGTGGCTACCAGCCATTTGTGTATCTTTTATGAGCTTCAGTTACTCCATCCTCAAAATGAGTGTAAATTAGGGATTTACGCATTTACAAGATGAGAGCCCCACTCTAGGAGAATCCAAAATAAGACTCAAAAAATGACTTACAAAATATATATTAAGCAATGGTTTTCTTTTTTACGAGAAGATTCCTCAGTAGGTTCCTTTAAATCGGAATTATGCAGACTAAAGCTTTTACAAACAGCTGTCAAGTGGTGGAAAGAATAAAAAGATCTTAAGTAACGTCCCAGCTACACCATTTATTAGCTGCGCAACTTTGAACACTCAAGTCAGTTAACCTTTTTGAGCTTCTGTTTACTCTTCTATACAGCAAAGATAACAACACCTACTTCACAGACTTGTTGGGATCAAATGAGATAATTCGTATAGAAGCGCTTAGTTAACATAACTCATTTATTTGTGAATTCAGTGAACGTTCATGGAGCCTCTACTATGTGCCAGGCACTGTTAAGCGCTGATCTTCTGATCTACACAGCGTGTGACACTTTAATTTGCAATCTTCATCTCGTAGAGGCTTCCAATTTGTGTTGTGATTGGATTTGTTTGTAGTACACCCACAACTTCTTGGAAATGTATGAACTGTGTAAAATGAAGGCCAATTACACATATTCGTTTGCTTCTTCCTGTATTTCACATGCAGGAATTGTGAACAAAGCTAGAAGACTTACCATCCTTATTGGCTAAAGTGAAGCGAAGGAAGGTGCACGAATCTCAGCCTTTCCCAAACACAGACTGGAAAGAAAACACCTCTTGGTGTGTGGGTGCACGCTACTGAGGGGCTCGCCATTGTGAAGACTCCTCCAAGTTCCTCCGCAGTCCATGCCCTGAGCCCTTGGGTTGGGCACCATGGCAGGCCGTCCCTAGTGGGGCTGGTTTCTACGTTCCAGCATCGCGCTACATTGGTGGAGGTTCTGCCTCGGTCTGTTCTGATGCCAAGTGCTTTGTACAACCTCCTTGTGTCCTTCCCCAGCTGCCTGGGAGCCCACTGTGATCTGCACTCCTCTCCTTTCAGCACTGTGTGCAGCAAGGACTCGTTCACCTTGCGTTAGGTCCTGAAAGGGACCCTTAGTAAACTGGCCTTACCCTTAGCTCTTCTCTATACTAGGGCTTACGTACCTCCCATAACATTTCTCAGGAAGCTGTGTGGATAGATTATCTCTGGAAATTTTCATTTGCACAACGATAGGGAACAGTATGGGAGCATTGTGCAACTTGAAGAGGCTTTAAACACGTTGAAGTCTATGTCAGTCACATCTTCTGGAGTTGTGCAGTGTACAGCCTGTCCAGCTATACCTGGCAGCCCTGATAGGAAAACTAGAAGCGCTGGAATAATTTCTGAAGTTGAATCTGAAGCTTGATCATGTTTGAAATCCTCACTCTCTTTCATACCCCTGAAAATTGTTTGACCACTTTAATCTAGCTTTCTAGCCTGCATTGGAAAGTGTTCTGTCTAACCACAGGCATGCTTAATGCCTTGCGATCTATATCCTCCCCTCTATCCAAATTGTCACTGCCTTCAGGTCTCTGTCGCCTTAACCCTGAATTACTGGGGCCACCTCCTATCTGGCCCCCCTGCTTTCAGTCCCACCTCCCACCACCATTCTCTAGCGTTGACAGTGTGACCTATCTAACTCATAAATCTGGTCATGTTGTGATCTTGCTCGTAATCCTTTAATACCTTTCCATTGCTTTCAGGATAAAATCCAGACTCCTTCGCATGGAGACAGGACCCTTCACGATTCTGGCCCCTGCTCTCACCTTCTGCTTTTGGAACACTCACTGGCCCAAGTCAGGTCAACGCCTTTGGATTTGATACTCGCTGTACCTAGGATGCCCTTCCACTCCCCTGTCCCTTCTCCTGACCAAGCCCAGCTCAGATGTTACCTCCCCTGGGAGCAATTTGAACACATGCTAAAAAGCATGGGACCATGCATTTAGCAATGAAAATATCTCTTCAGCCCACAAAGAATTGAAAAATAACAGTCTTGAAGTAAGGTCAGAAAGAAAGTCATGCGTGGACCACCACACACTGATTCACAGAGTTAGATGCCAGCTGCAAGACGTTCGGAGAGCTCTACAGAGAGTAAGGGATGTGCTGAGCCTGTCCCACTACATTCCTTCCTGCCTCCAGCTGCCGCACAGAGAGAATCAGATGGCAGAAACGCCCCATGAGCGGCAGCCTCAAGTTGCACGGGAAATAAAAGTCAGAAAATGTAGCAGAAAAAGTTTAAGCTCAGGAACCAGAAAAACTGAGTTCTGGTCACGTCTTTAGATCTGAGTTTCTCGTTTTACTGTGAAAGAATTGGACTCTGTCAGGGGTTTTTATGTCGCGCTTCACACAGCCCTGGGTGTTCTGGATGGTTTTCAGGGGTCACCTCAGGGGAATAGAATGGACACAGAGGGGTGAAGGCAACTCCCCAAGAACGCCTCCACTCTTGTTGGATATTCTGTTTTTCTGTGTAGGATTTCATCTGAAGAAAGGGTTATGCTGCTTAAAATGCATTGAAAAACCCTAAAAGAGACTAATAAACAACAGACATTCCCCGAACTGACCTACGCTTCACTGTCTCTGGAGTTCAGTAAGGACCTGTTGACTAACCCACCCAGTGGCAAACTGGACCCTGCTATGCTCTTTGCCAGTCACATCTCCTGCTGCTCCCTCTGGCGGGGATGCTCACTGTGCAAGGTTCAGCTGGACTTTGTCCCCAAACCAGTCAATGCCAGTTGTACTAGTTGTTTTTTATTATATCCTTTTTATTACGTATTATATAGGCCAGTGACATGAGAGCCGTTTTTTCTGTGAATAATAAGGAGAATGCTTGGAAAGACTTAGTAAAAACAAGTCACTAAAGATATTGCAGTGGAATTATGTATGGGCAAGTTAACTCTTTGGGGAAAGATTATAAAAATCTGCATGGAATCTATTCTCAGATCTTCCACAAGATTCTTGGAGTTCTCATTCCACTTTACAGAAACCCAGCCTGGAAATTGTATGTGGTGCATCAGAAAGTGGGGTTCACCCAAAAGAAGCAAGAATGCAACTCTAAACAGTATGTGCACACTCAGATCAAGCCTTGACCCTACATGAGACTTTGGAAAATAAACAGAAATCTATGTTTTAAGATAAAACAAAGTATTTAAATACATATACATATCATTTTTATGATTCCCCACTTCGGCTTTTTCAATTAACTGCTAGTCCAACCATCTGTGTGTGTGTGTGTGTGTGTGTGTGTGTGTGTATCTAAAGAACCAGACCAGAAAACATTCTGCAAACTCAAACAAACAAACCCATAGCAACAGCCCAAGATCTGAGGTTATATTGGCATTTTTCTTCCAAAGAGAGAAGAGACTTCTATTGAAGTGGACCCTGACTGGCCTTACATTTGTGCAGCTGTCAGGCCCAATGGCCACTATAACACAGACAACACAGTCGTTTCCAACTACAACAGGTGTCCTTGATTTTCAGTCTTTCTTAAATTTCAGCAGAGACTGCAGGATGATCATGGAAAAAGAAGTTGGACGAGAAGAAGAAAGATAGTCGGGGGTGCAGAGTGAATGGTGTGACCTGGAAGGCATTCTCTCTAACTGGTCAGTACGGTGTCTTGCCAGAGAGCTCTGCTTGGCGAGCCCAACGCTTCGCAGATTACTGATTCTGCTTTCAACTGAGATCAGTCACTGAAGGATTTGTCTCTTTCTTGTTGGACAGTGACAGGACACCAACCACACAAAGCCACCTCCACCCAGTGATAGTTCTAACTGTTTACAGCAAAAGTCAGCATTGCCAGGAGTCAATAGAAATGTGCCCACTAGGTAGGCATTGACCTAAAAAGTAAACTACATTCATGCACGGAAGATGCACTACATTCTTTGGTGGAAGGTATAGCCATTCTGAAATCTGAGTGTGGATCCCTGGTGTGTAAAGCAGTTTTGTGAAAGACTAATAATTTATTTTAAAGGAGTTTCTATGACTGTGATTAAAGTACAAGCTTTAGCAAACAAAGAGCTTAGTGCCTTAAAATATAAATAAGGCATGAGCCTCCTAAATGGCGTCTTGTCACCTGTACAACTCTAGGCCATTACTAAAGATGTTTAGCTAGCTAGCACATGTCTTACTTATAGAGGGAGTATGGGCGTAATAGAAAAAAACATTAAAATAATACAGAAGGATACAACATTTTTTAAAAACTGCTGACAATCTGGGAGATATAAGAGATACTCTGAGGCGGGGAGAAGGGCTGGCATCTGAGGATTAGCAATTCCTTTTGAGTAGGAACGGGCCCGTGGGTGACGAGCCTTTCCATCTTCTGTGAAATTCAGGGCTAAGCACAGGCTCGGTGAGAATCTGTTGAATTTCCCAGAGAGCAGTCTGTAGAACAGAACCTGAGTAATATCAGGAAATGTCCCCCCACATGGTCATTGCCCCTAACTGATCTCAGCCAATTTAGAGCACCTCAACTAAGGCGCTAATTAAGTAGGAGCCAGATATTTCAAAGCTGCCTTTCTGGTGGAGTGGGAGTCAAGTTATTATGAGACCTCTTTATTCCCTTGGTCAATATTTTTCCTTGCATTCAGGACTGTCCTTACTTCTTTGAGGGGAAGCTGCATGAGCTTAATCAAGCCCCCCAGATTAAAAGAGACAACTGGAGCACAGTTCTTAATGGGATAAAGAGTCATGATCCCCAGCTTCCATCAACAGAGAGAGAGTCATGGAGCTTCATGAGAAGGGCATTAGCTTTGGGTCAGACCAGATGCTTGGATTCAAATCCAGGGTCTAATTTTACAGACTAGCCGTGTGACCTAGGCATGACTCAACCCTTCAAGCTTCTATTATTCATGTATAAGATGAGGTATATTAATCCCTTCATTATAGGGCTTATTGGGAGGAGTAAATAAGATAATGCACTTACTCATGGACCGGGTCCTTATGTGCCCTGTGTCAGACACTGTGCTGGTTTCCAGAGACTAGACACATGCTAAGCACATGGTAGGCAGTCATTAAAGATTTGTTGAGTTGACTTGATCTCATACAGTAAGTAATAAGGAGACTCAGAAATAAACAAATAAAAGACTAGCTGAAAGCTTTTTGGAACTGTGCTATGAGATAGATTAAGTAACTCTTTCCACATAAGCTCCCTAGCTCTCCTTCCCCAGAAATAGAACTAGAGAGAAGAAGCAGGGAGAAGAAAAATAAGATATTTTTTGAGACTAAAATATATTCATAAAAATAATGTATACAATATGTCCACTGCAGCATGGTTATTAATGAAAAATTCTGTTGTAAAGTGTCACAGCTTGAATCCTGGACCCATTTACTTCCAGGATACAGACATTCCAGGGCCGCATTTCTCAACCTTGACACTATTGACATTTGGGGTTAGATAATGTTTTGTCATGGGGAATTGTCCTATGCATTTTAATGTGTTTAGCAGAATCCCTGGTTTCTGCCCACTTAGATGCACCAAGTTGTAACAACCAAAAATGTCTCCAGACGCTGCCAAATGTCCCATGGGGACAAGATTGCTCCAGCTGACAAGCGCTGCTCTGGAGCATATTTGACCAAAGAATTAAAGAAAAAATATATCCCCAAGGAAGAGACTCAGCACACAGGCTTAGCCCAGTCTCTGCACCTCAGTTACTGGAACACCTCTGAGTGCAGATGTTTCTGCCACCCCGAATGGACCTCAGTCCAGCAGCATGTTCGTGCCCAAAGGGGACAGAACTACAAAAACTGGAAAGATCTGCTTTCACTGCAGTCTCTCAGAGACGTTGAGAAGTATCCTGCCTCATCTTCTCTCCTCCTTGCCAACTCCACTGTAGCCACCCTGGCCCCCTTGATGTTCCTCAAACATGCTGTATTAATCATGTCTTCTTATTCTGTGCTTTGATACTTTGACATCTTGGGGTTCACTGACCCTGGAGGGACTCCCATCCCAGGACTACCAGTTCTGGAGACAGCAAACAACCTGCCTGTGAGTGCGCCTTTCCTGTGCAAAGCAACCAGTCCAGAGCCCACACCACCAGCCACTCCTCCATGGGCTCTCATACTCAGGGCCACTTATCCCTGCCTTATCACCCCAGGACAGGTACCAGACACTGGAGAGAGCCCTATGCCCTAGAGCCCACTGAAGCTATCCAATCCTAAGCTGCGCCTCCAGCCTGCCCATTCCTTCCCACAGAAACCACAGCAAAGACTCCTGCCCACATTTCTCCCTTACTGCCTCTGCCTCCTGACTACACTGGTGCTTCCCCATGTGCCCTTTCCTCTTGGAATCTGCGAGTATAACAAATGATCTTTTCAATGGCAATTGTCTCCTCACCTCTTGGCCCCTCCATACCTGAAAAATAATGAAACCTACATTTTAAAAAGAAGTGCTTGGTATGCTGCCACCACAGACTTGCGCATGTCGTCCCACCACGTGTTCACTCAGAGCCCCGGGGCTTCCTCCAACTGACACTGACCCTGATATCAGTTTCCCCACATTAAACCCAGCATATATGGGGGTAAGACCAAAACACTCTTTCCCTGCTTACTCTCTGGCTTCCTGGCTCCAGAATCCACTATCTTCCATGGAGACAGACACCGCCAAGGACAAGCACCTGGATTATCTCCTCCGCACAAAGAGAGATGGGCTGGTGGGAAAGCTGCTGACCAGGAAGGTCATGGGTTCCCTCCTCTCTGCAAGTGTCTCAAGGCCAAAGACAGGCTGGTGGGAAAGCTCTGACCAGCAACACCATTTGCTCCCCCTCCCCTACCTAAAACCCCAAATAAAAACCCTTCCTTTTATCTCTCCAGGGAGTTTGGGATTTCAGCGTTAGCTGCCTTCTCTCCTTGCTCAGCACCGTGCAAAAATAAAATTCCTACTTTCTTCCACTATCCCCTGACGTCAGAGATTGTCTTGCTGCACAACGGGTGAGCGAACTCACTTCAGGTTCGATATCATGACCTTCCAGCACACAGTGTGCCTGTTGCCGTGGAGCTTTGCCCTGCCATTCCTTCTGCCGCAGATGACCCTCTCTCTTCAGAGGGTCAACTTCCACAAGACAAGTGAGTCCTGCGTGCTACCATGCCAGGTAAACACTTGGACACAAGTGCTCTGTGCGAGCTGTCACCATGGTGCCATCATCAGTGTGGAAAACATGTGACCTGGTGACGCTTCCCATCAAGGTAATTAACTGTGAAACTGCACGTTCAGATGTGCAGTGCGGGGCCTGGTAACACAAGAAAGGTTCAGTAAAAATATGAACTGTTTTTTGTTTACTGTAAATTGTTCCTAATGTACATTAACGGAAAGAAATGTGAATCCATTAGATATTATTAGTTATTCAACTTTACAGTGCAAATTTCTTATTTTTCACCTTTAAACATCTGGATCAGCTTAATTGGAAAATATGCTGAAACTACAAAATGGAGTGTTAGAAAAATGCTGCAATTATACAGCTACATAAACCAGAGTTTTTCACTGTACAAAATACAGATCTAAATCACATGGGAGGTTAATATGAGCAGTTATGACATCCATTCCTCCAATTCCAATCTATGTTATTTGATAGTAGTTCTCCTTGTTTGTGCTGATTCTAAATATTCTAAATCTGAAGTTATCAAACACATGTATACAAATCAAACTATTTTTAAAATTTAAAAAAAACAGAAAACTTCTCCCCACTTCAGATCTCATCTCAATCAGGAACTTCCGCAGAGACCTTCCCCGAGCTCCAGCCCAGGGCAAGGCCTTGGCCACTGTTCTCACCACGCTCTACTGTGTCTTCACAGCAGGTACAGCTTATGTTTGATTCCTGGGTGATCGTGTGATGAAGGCCTGCTTTCCCCCATTAGGTGGGAAACGCCAAGAGAACAGCCGCTGCGTCTACTTTTTCTCGATATTGCATCCCCAGTGCACTGCCTGGCATATGACATGGCTCAGCATTTGTTGATTGAATGGATGGATGAATCCTCTGGGATCTCCTAGAAATGGAAGGAGTCTTGAAGAGAGCCACAGGACCAGTGAAAGGAAGTTGGAAGCGAGTCGGAGAAATATATTTTATTGCTGTTAACATGGCCTCATTTTCCCCAGGCAGCTGGATCATAACAGACAATATAAAGTGTTAAATAAGTTATAGTGCCATACGCACGGTGGGTACTGTACAGCCATGACAATCATGTTTGCTGTCTGAATGTCTTAGACATATGGCATAGCCACAGAAAAGAACACAACATACTTATTCAAATTACATTGCAGATTTATGTTTGTTAACATGCAAAAATAATTCTGATAGATTATTTAGTAAAAAGAAAAAAAGAAAGCAGATCATATAACACTTTGTAGAGGTTGATATTGCTTTGTTTCAAATTAGTATAAATATGTGCTTATGATGCTAGGCACTGTGAGAAACACTTTACATTTGTATGCAATATCTTCTAACCCCCTATAAGGAAGATACTGCTATTCTCTCCATTTTAAAGAAAAGGAAACTGAGGCTTTCAGAGCTAAAACACTGTCCGTGGCTCCAGGCTGACTATATTAACAGTTATTTTCTCTAGTTATTCAGGATTATTTACTTTCTCTATTTTATAAATTTTCTTCAACGAACATGGGTTAATTCTACAATAAAACATAATTAAAATATATATAAATGTTTTTAATGACAAAAAATGTTCTTTATGCTGTGTTAATTGTGAAAAACCAGTAAGATACATTTTACAGAGAGTATAATTTGAATTACATTTTTTTTTTAAAGATTTTATTTTTTTCCTTTTTCTCCCCAAAGCCCCCCAGTACATAGTTGTATATTCTTCGTTATGGGTCCCTCTAGTTGCGGCATATGGGACGCCGCCCCAGCGTGGCCCGATGAGCAGTGCCATGTCCGCGCCCAGGACCTGAACCAACGAAACACTGGGCCGCCTGCAGCGGAGCGCGGGAACCCAACCACTCGGCCACGGGGCCAGCCCCCTTGAATTACATTTTTTAACATGCAGAGAAAATATACTGGAAGAAAATGGGTACAAACATTATAAATGAGTCTTTTTTCTCTTTATTTAGGCACTTTTGCATTTTCCCAATTTCCTACAACGACCTTGCGTTTGCTTTCATTATTAAGCAATTTGCCAAAGTCGCCTGCTGCAGAGCAGTCGGGTCGGGGACTTGAGCTTCAGACTGAGTCCCCAGCAAGAATCTGATGCAATTTCACCGCTCACCCAGTGTCAGGTGTGCAAGGAAAAGATTTTTAAATATTTTCCTACAGCAAAATGAATTTTTACTTCAAATCTTCATTTTTTAAGAATGGAAAACCTTGATCTCAACACATTTCACTCTCCTTTCTTCCCCAGCCCACTTCTACCTGCACCCCTGCCGTCTCCCCTTCCTGGCCATCCACATCCATGAGTTACTGCATCTCAAAACGTCAGCTAAAAATTAACATGCTACTATTCCAGAAATTTTTTTTTCCCTCAAGTCAGTGGTACTGAAACACTGAAACAATCAGGTCCCAAGGCAGACCAGCCTGGATTCACAGTCTGAGTGATGAGCACACTGGCCTTAGCTAGGGAGAACCAAGCTGTAAAAACTGGGCACTCCTGTGACTTAGTCAGCCAGGCTGACGTGACCTCTCTCTCCTCAGGTTGAGGATTTACTGTCAAACGGAGAGAGAATCCTCTTTACCTAGAAAGGGCGGTCACACCAGGTCACCCTGGAGGGAACTAAAAGAGTACTTTGAAGCCTAAGCTGGCAGTTGCTTTTGCCTATTAAGTAGTCTTTCTGCTCTGGAGCAGATGGCGTTGGCAGCACCACGTAAGTCACCCTGGAAAGACACAAACACATTGAGAAATCAGCTTTGACTTTCCACATTAAAAACCACTTTCCATATATATAAAACCACTAGCATTTATATGGTGTTTACTCTGCAGGCTGATGTGTCTGTATTTTCAATGCCCACCTAACCCGGAGCTTGGCACACCCTGGGCTCTCAATATCCGCTGTATCAATGATAAACGGATGGTAAATGAATTCACCTTTTCATGAAAGGTGACTATCCACAGATAATATGCACATAGCTATGACACAATTCAAATGTATTTTATCCATAAAATGACACACGCAGAGTCTTAAGGAAAGAACCTAACTCGCTGCTTGTCCCAGAGCTCCAGAGCTGGAGCCGAGCTATCACGCTGCAAGGATACATCTGGAGTAGGAAACATTTAGAGTTGAGCCATGTTGAGTAGGGGAAGGAGGGAATTCCTTGCTGTGTCCTTCGCTGTCCTGGCTCACGGCAGAGTGGACTTCCAAGTGGAGGCATGCCAGGGGACCAGAGCCACTGCAGGGTCAGCCTCAAGCCAGTTTATCCCGCAACTCAGGAGACCCTCAGATGGACCTGCATTCCCTACATACCCAGGACGAGCCACAGGGACACAAGCAGAGAGGCGGTAACTCCTCACGGTGGCTGCAGAGTGTTCGGGGTCTTTTGAACCTGGTACTGAAATCAGCCAAGAATCCAATCGAATGCAGATCTCATAATGAGTTTGGGAATTTGGAACTCGGTGCTTGGCGACACCCTCTGTTTCCATAATCATTGTCATGATCATTAACTTCACAATTACATTTATTTGAACACCTACACCCCAGGCACTTTGCCAAGTACTTAGTTTCTAATCACTACGACCTCTCTGGAAGGGATTATTATCTCCGTGTTAGAAGGGAGAAATTGAGCCCAGGAGAGGCTACATGACTTTCTCAAGGCTCACAGCTGGGAAAAGTCCTGTCTTCTCAGTTCCACAATCCATTAAGGAGTTCCCATTACCTGAAGCTGCCATTTGGATCTATCTGTCAAAGAACCACAGGGGGCACCACAGAGGGGCCTCCCGAGCCACCTGGGGGAAGACCATACAGCAAGTTCCAGGGTTCCTGCCAGCAGTGTGCATTTGGATGAAGCTTCTCTGATTTCATCTATTTTCAGTACTAGTCAGCTGTGTAAAATTTAATTTAATTTCTTCAGGGCTCTGCTCTGATATTTAAAAAAATTAGAGGAAGAAATTGAAGCAGAGAGGAAGGGAGGAAAAGATTAAAAACCATTGGCATAGGGGCTGCATCCTGGCCCAGTGGTTGAGTTCCTGCGCTAGGCTTTGGTGGCCCAGGATTTCACCAGTTCGGATCCTGGGCACCGACATGGCATCGGTGATCAAGCAATGCTGAGGCCGTGTCCCACGTTGAACAACCAGAAGCACCTACACCTGGAATATACAACTATGTAATGGGGGGCTTTGGGGAGAAGATGCAGGAAAAAAAACAATTGGCAACAGATGTTAGCTCAGGCACCAATCTTTAAAAAAATAAAAGCCTCTTTGGAATCCTCAATAATTCTGAAAATATAAGTGGTCTTGAAAGCAAAATGTTTGAGAAATGCTTCTCTGGGACATCTCCTTTATATCCTAGAACTGATCTAGGCTATCTAGCTATCTAGCTATCTAGCTAGCTATCCTAGGATACCCGTCTCCTGGAACTGGAGCTGTGCTCTTCTCGTTGCCTCCTAATAGATGGCGCACGATTTTGATTTGTCCTGTTGCCAGTTACGCTAACTTGATGACATGATTAAGGTAAATCTACCAACTTTCAGCTTTCTCTACTGTAAATTTACTCTTTCCCCTTTGGATTCAATAAGTATTTTGTGAAAACATATTTTGAGGCTATATAAATTTCTTGTTTTTCATCATATTTTTACATCCATTAAAATTTTAACCTCCGTTAAAGTTTCTTGCCTGAATTATTACTATGATGTTTGCCAAAGAATGATATTTTAATTTCACCCTTTCTTCTACATTAATTAGTTGTTGTATTACTGTAAGAAACATTGTAAGAACTTTTCTCTTAATTTATTCATCCATTTATTTGTTTGTATCAGTATGGACTCATGGGTTCCTATTTAAATCAGTAGATCGTTTGTTACTATTATTATTTATTTTGATGCTTGAATTGTCCCAGCTTTGGCCAATAGGAGACCTTTCAAGCTAGCTTCTCTGTCCTCTTCATGTCTTTATCATTCTTTGAGTTCTTTCTTACTTCCTGATACAAAATGACTAGCATTGTAATTTTCCTGACCTAGCCCTGAAATCAGTCATTTCTCCAAGGATCCTCGTTTCTTTTTCATGGTGAGAGGTATTTATAAACCAAGCTCTGGATGCTAGGTGTGCCAGTTACAATTGCAGTGTTGCTGCTTCCAAGACTTCTCAGTGGGCAGAGCTAGGAATCATATGAGTGCGTACAGAGGGAGAGACACGAGCGCATCTACGTATACTTACATATACATATTTATTTTTATGGCCTTGTCTCTGTATTGAAAACTACAGGGTTTATTTTAGCTTTCTCCCTTTTTATAATTGTAACTTCCTTCTCTAGCTTTGAGAAACCTGGCTCCCGTTATCCTGAGCATACTTACTTACATGGTCGGTCCTCATATGAAGCCAAGCTACTGACCTTGCCAGGCTGCCCCACCACTAGGTGCACCTTCCTCACAGAGCCTCGAGACGCCCCTGGGATGCTACCAGCTGTGCAAGATAGGCCTTGATATCTCAGGCTTCCGGTCCTAACAGCTTTTGGGATGCATTACTACAGGAGGGAGGGAGGGCGGGAGGAAAAGTTCTTCCATTTAATGTAGTTGAATTTATCAATATTTTCCTTCATGGTTTGGATTTCTTTTGTCTAAGAAATCCCTCCTTATTCCAATTTTGTAAAGATATGCTAACATATATTCTCCTAAAAGTTTCATAGTTTTGTCTTCCTCATTTAAATTTCTACTCTACTTGGGATTGATTTTTGACTGTGGTGTGTGGTAGTTGTCCAATTTCTTTCTTCTTTTTCTTTCCTTTTTCTTTTTATTATTATTATTTTATAACATGGAAAATATTTGTCCCAATACCATTTATTGAAGTGTATTTCTTCCTCAGGAAGTGAAGTATATTTAAAATTGTAAAGTGAAAGTAATTTAGTTGGAAGACTTGAGCAAGAGAAGAGAGAGAATTTGAAGTCTGTGTCATATCTGAGCTTTGACAGATCACGTGCCTTTACCTTCAATGGCAGTCAGTTTGGTTCATACCACAATGTTCCTTGAAAAGAAAATTCAAGTGATAAAGCTAAGTAGGCAATCATATTTCTAGTAGAACTGAAGGACTATTCTCATCATGTTGCCAAGAGGCTACAATATATTGAAGTACAAATAAGAGAACTACTCATGTAATTTACCATTAGAAAATATCGCCCAACCATTTGTATTCCCCCATTTCCTTTGATTAATACAATGCTGCACAAATGCTCATGGCTGTCCTTTGACATGAGTACTTGTTGCAGTTGACACTGATGGACTCAGAATCAGTTCTGACTGGTCAACTGGCCAACTCAGCAGACTATGGATCCTCTAATCTTTCTTAAGAAGATAACGTGGTAATATGGAATGTTCTCTGATTAAAACAATTGCAAAAACATAAGAAGCCATAGCAATAAACTTTCCAATAGAAAATAAATCTTAGAAGTATAGAGTATGCTTGTGAGTGAATTAAAGCCCCCCACACTTGATAAGGTGCAGTGCCTACATGATGCCAACAGTGTTTGCCAAGGATCTACCCTACCCTAAAATAAATCCTTACTATTCCTGAATCATCATATGATCACTTGAATTGTTTAAATTCTCTGAGCTACAGTTTACGTGTAGTTAAAAATTTCTTAACCACCCTATGGAGGCCATGCTCGTGTTTTGTGGAACAAGAAAGCCACTTTCAAAATAGAGACTGTGAACTCTTTCCAATAGTAATCTCAGGGGTAATTGATACTTTAGATTTGTCAGTTACTAACTCTTCTTTTCCTTTGATGGAAACCATGTCTGGTGCATTTATAGCCAGGGTGAAATAGTTTCACTGTTGTAAAACAGTGGGGGGTATCGGATTCTAGAAAATGACATCTCAGTTTCCTCGGGGGTGAGTCACCCAGCAGAACCTGGGGCAATGAGTAGAGCTGTTTACATGCGTTTGGTTACTCATTAAGAGCCTCTCTGTTCTGAAGATGAGCTAAGATTTAAAGGCCTCTTTTAGAGAGGAAATAGGAACTTAGTGGGAGACCCAGAAGAGAGTGGGTACTTTCCAAAAGAAAAGACAGAAATTTTGTCTCTCACCATTGGAAGTAACTGGCAAAGATTTAAAACAGGATCTGTCATCAAAGACAGATAAATAATAATAAGATTAGGACATGATGCTCGCTTGGAACAGTAGGTGAGAAAGCTAAGCTTATTTTGACGTTGAAATGAACCTTAGTATCTCACTAGCTGGTGAACATGTGTCAAGGAGACCATACAAGTTGGAGAGACATGGATGAAGGCTTAAGGCCAAACATCCAGGGCCCCATTGTCATAGAGCCCTCCACGAATGAAGTTAATGAAGGGGTGATGGCTCAAGATAGAAAGCCTGAGGGCACACAGACACATTGAGAAATGCCTGCTTCTCTAGGGGCCAGTGAAAGAGGCAGAACTGGGGACACAGTGACTGAGCAGCCTGAGACTCAGACTAGGAGATGACACTGGGGTAGACTTTGGGTGAGACTGTTAGCATACTTTTAACAGTGCTCACCCAAATCGACTTAGTTTAATCTAGCAAACACAGACAGAGTGAGAGCAATGACAAGGACCCAAGGTGGGGTATCTAGCTGAGGGGAGTAGATTTAGTCAGATTAGGTGAAGAAATCTATGCTTTCTGTGTCAGCCAATTCTATGCTAGAGTCAAAGACTAAGCCTGTCTCAGATGAACTAAGACATGAAGTAATTTTCCTGACTCCGTGACAGTGAGGATGGTGTGAGGCATGCAGTATGAGGCTGAGGATGCTATGTGTGGATGCCTGGGGCCATCCCAGCTCAGGATGCTGGAAAGAGACAGTGGTGTAGCAAAGCAAAAGGTAAAATACAGGAGGGAAGGAATCAGGACAGCTTGAGGATTCTAACCTCATCCAATATGGAATTTTCCCCGTGAACGTGTTGATATATTTGATATGGTCATTCAGCAGCAGTGGGAACATTTAAACTCCCAGAAGTTATCAGTGGTTACTTCTACCATCACTTTGCAATGATGAAAAGAGACTTTATATAAGCTACAGCTTTGGGAACACGGCAGTGGCCCTCAATAAAACTTTTGCTTCTTAATCCCACACCAAGACTCAGAAAAGATATGAGTGAATTTAAGTGATGATAATAATCTTGAAACAGGACAATGTCTTGTGCAGAGTGGGAAGGGCAAGCCCTTCTTAACTGCCCCAGGCCTGCGAGAGCTGCTTTCTCAGCACTTGATACTTGAAGAAATAGTTTCTCCTGGGCTAGTTTTCTGAACCCAATCTCTGGATTTTGACTGTTGAAAGCGAAACTCCCTTTCCCCAACTTCCAGTCATTCCTCACCCCCTTTCTCACTTCCTACACTCTTGCACATCTCCACAGCTCCAACACGCATGGCCCCACCTGTCTCAGGCGTCTGAGTGTTTGGCCCATCTGGGTTCTCGTAGCGGAATGCCTCGGCCCAGTCTTTGTTCCTGGACCCGCTTTATCCTCGTCTGTCTTGAATAAACTCACAGTACCAATTGCTTTCAGAAATGAGCTGCTTTTGACTGTCATTCACATTTACTCCTTGCCCCAGCATGTCCGCTCAGCACCACAGAAAGACATGAAAGGGCTGTCCACCCCACACTGGATGGTCTCGTCCCGTCTCTGGTCGCAGAGGAACTCTAGGCTGATTAGTGACTCTCCTTCAAGTTTGAGTAGATCTTGGGGCAAGCAAATTGTACTAAGAAATATGAATTTTATACCAGATTGCTAGTTATCATCTCACCGTGAGAAACACTACTGGCAAGAAGACTAAAGTCTTAAGTCAGCTGGTCTGCAAGTTGTATTTCCCATAAGAAAAGCTATCTGGAAAAATGACCACTCATTTGTTTAGTGGCTATAGAGTCAAAAATTAAGAGAACTGACTGTCTTTTACAGGATATTCCGTGAGATTAAAACAGAACCTGATGACTTGCCTTTGCCTCTAGAATTCATCTCTCTAGAATCTGGACTAGTTATTGCTGCAAACTAGTTCTTCTCATCTTCACAGACAACGAAGAGTAGCCCCTAAAACTGCTGCTT